ACGTAACATCATAACATCACATCACGCTTTTTATCCCCGAAGAGGTAGGCAGAGGTGCACATTACGGCACTTAATACCACTGTACAATGTAACACCTACTTTTTACTATTTATGTTAAGAGTCCCATGTATTAGGGGTGGGCTTATTGCCATATACCGGGCACAATTCCAGACTCCGTGCTACTACTGCGAATTTTATTAAAAAACCCAGTAATATTTTGCCAGACCCAGGATTCGAACCCGAGACCCCTTGTCCAGCAGTCGCACTAGCATCCAGTTAGCCTACGAGTCAGTCTAGTAAATATTTAGTTCATGTGTGGACAAAATAGTACCCTCTTTTATACCTTCGTAACTAATAAGTATAGGTAATAGCTGAGTGTAATATTTTAGTTTCCATTCCTAATTAGGCTTTTAAAGTAATCAACAAGACACATAAAATATTTTAGTTAAATGTCACATCACAATACAAAAAAATAAAATAAAACAAATACATCGAAAAAGGTAAAACCAAAAATTCTTGACAGCATAACGAACAAAACGAAAATCATTGGCTGTTTCAAATGGTTCGTTCGTAATTCAATTTGTGAAATTGTAAAGCAAGCGATTGTACATCGTCTGGGTATAAAATTGATATCATTTGCAGCCACAATTTTGTGTATACACAAATTACTTTAATGTGACAACACTGGCTGGTAGGAAATGTACGTTCGATTGTTTTTATTATCATCGAATTTATTATGATTTTGAAATAATAGCAATTGTTCTATTGCTAAGATTTTGTAAATGTTCTGGAATATGAATGGTCTTGTAACCAATTTTGCGTTCGTTATACCCGGCCCAGTTAGAGGTATTATTGGATAGATTAATTGGCTTTTAATGGACTTAACTCCTCGTTGCCTTAACGTTTAATGGACTGCCTTGTAGGCCAAGTTGTCGCAAGTGTGGGATTTAAAAAAAATCTCAGTAGTGTCACGGAGTCTGCAATTGTGCCTGGTATATGGCAATAAGCACACCCCACTTTACATAGGATTCACAACATAAGTAGTGAAAAGTGGATATTACATTGTACAGTGGCATTGAGTGCCGTAATGTGCACCTCTGCCCTACCCCTTCGGGGATAAAAGGCATGATGTTATAGACTTAGCTCTTAGCCCCTTACGAGGTAATCAAGTGTTGTAAATCGAATCTAATGTTAATAGATACGAGTACACATTAAACAGAACGATCGATCTAATTTCTCTTCGAATGTCCTGAGCGGAGCCTAAACCCTAATAATGACTAACATTTAGCCAAAGTCAAGTGTCATTAGTATAGTATTGTTAGTATTGTTCTACTTACCACCACCACCCTAAAGGATAAATAAATAATATTGTAGGTATTTACGCTAAACCTATATTATTATTTTAATTACCAGGACCAAGAATGTCTTTATAAAAATGGGACTAGCCAACGAGAGCTGGATGGCAGCATCCTAAAAAATTTCAGCAGTCTAACTGCGATCAGAGTTCAAAGTGCGAGTTATTGTTACGTCAACGCGATCCAAATGTCACCGCGTTTAGCCCTCTTATTGGTTGCTTAACATTGAGCTGACCAATCACACCGCCGAAGTTCATAAACGTGTTAATCGCGTTTAGGCAAAACAAACTCGCACTAGGCACTCAGATGATCGAAGATCGAAGTAAACTCGATCGCGGTCCACCATGTGATTGGCTGTGAGAATAACCTCGACCAATGACGGGCGAGAATGCGGTCGAGTTCACTTCGAAAGGTGACAACCTACAGAATAACCTAACATGCTGTACTGCCGAGTGTGAGGATAATGACCCCTTTTAAGGGAGGCCTTCACTAACTACTGGACATAATCTGGCTATTAAGCTGGTTTTGTCTGCTAAGATTGTAGATACTTTTAGTACATAGTGTTTCTGTAGGTTCAGCAGGTTCTTTTGAGTATACGTACATAATTATGTAGGTAGTCAGTATAGATTTTCGTAGATCAATATCTATCATAAAATAATGGCGAAGTAAAACCGCTTTTATACTTTATTTTATAAAGTCTATTTTTCATGTCTAGTTAGGTTAACTTAATCTAGGTCTACCTGAAATATAAAGTGACTTCACAATTTTTGACCCTAAAAGGTCTGTCTAAACGGAATGTAGCGACATATGTTCGGTAAGGGTTACAAGGGTACCCCAAATATGACAGTAATTTTATAGTCTCGACATTTATTGGGTACATCATTCAAATGTTCTTGAAGTACTCAATATACTTTAAAGGATATAGTAGCGTATATCAATTTATGAGTCGGAGAGAGATGTCATATAAATATCTGAATAAAATTAAATGGCATTTTGATATCCGTTTTTTTTTTACAAAAGAAGACTTAATTTATGATTTTGTTGAAAATAAATTTAAAAAACTGCGTTTAAAAAAAATGACGTCAACTTTCTCTTTCTCTTCGTTCTTAAGTTTAGAGTTTAAAGTTAAAGTTCGTCCCATTGGATGCCGTATTGGACAACGCTAGCGGGAAGGTTAGCCATAAATAGTTTTTATCGCCAGTTAAAGGCTTAATATACTAAATCCTTCTCTTAAGTGTAACAAACACTTTTCTGAGAACCGTATCACAATCGGTTCAGCCAATTGCGAGATAATCGCGCACAAACATACATACAGGTCAAATTTACATTCATACACAAAAATTATTTGCACTAAGATGTAGAAAAGCGAATATGAGAAATAAACTAATAGCGCTTATTGCCAGAAATAACTAGATTTAGCCAGTCAAGTAATTTTCCTAACAATTACGTTATCAAAAAATTCTTCTGCAAACAAAATGCACTTTATTATCAGAGGGTAGATTTTAGATAAGAATCCATTTGGCATGGAAATAGGCACTACTAGGTACTTGCATCAATTTCTATCGGTAAACCCTTTTTTGAAGGAACAACACAAAATTGACGCATTGGCGTCGATTTTTATCTAACGAAACTTACGGATCAAATTTGTAATCCAGGATTAGCCTTTCTGTACATTGCGGTCCTTTTTGGGCCCAAAATCCATGTAATGATAACGCTAGCCGCACTATTTTGGAGATAAACATAATTGATATAAGGGTTAGTTTGCAATGTAAATAAATACAACTGAATATGTACAAAGGTACATACGTAATTGATGTATACATGTGTATGTATATTTACTTGGTAAGCCTTTGAAGATGGATGGCCTAGACGTCTAGGTGGCTAGAACTGAAATACTTCAATATTAAAAAGCGACATTATATTCTGATAAACTGGAAAAACTACTGCGAAAATGTCTGTGTCAGTTGATTAGGTATGTGAGATATTGTCACCTTTTAGGACTGACAAAAAACCAAACAGATATTAATATTCGTTTAGTTGTCAAGCCCAAAATATTCCCTAACTGTTAATGTTTAAGTGTTTAGGACTCCCGTTTCTCATAGGGTAACGATGTGACTTTTTCCGATTTATGTATTTTTTAAGATTATTTAGAAACCACTGACAGACGGTGAAAGAAGACATCGTTAGGAAACCTTGCTTAATATAATATATATTATAATGTAATCCCTAATTATAAGTCTCAAATAGCCAATCCGCATTGAGCAAGCGTTGTGGTTAATTGCACAAACCTCCTCCGTGTGAGAAGAGGTGTTTGGTCAGCAGTGACCACTTACAGGTTATTGATGTGATTTATAATAATACTTGTGTAGTATTTACTAAAATCTGTTACCAACAGAAGCAAAACCTACTACATAATGAATAATACCTAAACGAGTTTTACGTACCCGCCATTATTCTTTATGGAACGATATAAAACAATATGGCATGCGAATAAAAAAGAAATATGGTGGGAGTCATTCATAAAATATTACTTAGTTTATTTTTTAACCATCACAAGGGTGTTCATAAAACAGAAAAATATTCATGGACAGTCACCAGACATATTAATTTATATTCATTTTGTAGCTCTAACGCTGTCGTCGGTTAACGATCATTGAGTCTGGCTGGATTTAGGACTTGGGATTTTTGTTTGCCATTTTTATTTTCAATATTATACTTACGGATTCAGCAGTTTCGCAAAAGTGTGAGCTTGTCTAATGTGACATTATCAGTCCACATCCAGAACGTGTAATAAATTATCTACACTTTTATGAATGGTTTAGTATTTTTTTAATTACTTTTGTATTCTTTATCAAAATGTTTAGTCGGTAAATTATGTAAGAAATAAAATCCTAGAATCATCTTTATACTCTGTTTTACGCAAAAATCTGTCCCACTCATATGACCTAAACCATTTACCAAAAGAGTACCTACCTACTTGATTTATTAAGTCTATGCGAAGTCATTCCCTTACATTTATCATCAGGACAATAATAGTATTCTTTTGACAGATCCGTGATTGATTTTTATTTGCAAATATACATATTATGTAGTATGTTAATCACATGTTCTGATCTGAGTTCAGCGACCTACTTAATCTTTATCTAGTTCATCGATAATCTACATGATGTTAGGATTAAATTCTAAGCTTATGACTAAGGTTTCGATTTACGTTTTGAATATAATATCTTGGCTGTCTTGTTGGCCTATTTGATTTCTATCAAACTATTATACAAGTATCTAAACAGGTTATTGTATATATCTTGGAATAAGGTATACAAATGAATAGATTTCATTAAATATGAAAAATTAAAGAATGCAATTAACAGTGTAGGGAGTATGCCGGACATTGCGGCGTTTCATTGAAGGATAGAGATTATAGAGGTATAACTGGAAAAAATATGTTTAAGGATCAGGAAAGGATGACATTAAAACTTTTTTGAAAGTTAAAATAATAGCTCCGTGCTGCAGTTGAGGTTTTGCGCTGACAAGAACACCGTATGAAAATTCGTTCAGTAGTTTTATCGCAAACTGATTGACAAGACTTGACGACCGACTTTATAACCTATAGATCCTTGTATGGCCAATATATTATATTTAACTTACTTGAAATAAAGGAAGACGAAGACGGCGAGTGACAGCACGGCGAGGCTGAGCGAGTAGCCGGCGAGGTAGATGAGGCTGGTGACGTCAGTCGGCGACACGTTGGTCATGCGTTCTGTGCAGTTCGCGTAGTTTGAGTAGTTGTGCCACACGCCGTCCAAGCACATCCGCGATGCGTTCTCTGTACCACAAATTATTAGGATTCAAGATTCAATCAAGAGTCGTCGTTATTGACCATATCAATAAGTCATAATGGTCAAAAGAATAACAATATTCTCATGATAATAATAAATTTCAATATTAGCATCATCACGTAGGAATAAAATGCGTAATGATGACACTGTTATCAGAATTATATTGAGAAACTCAATAATAATTTGATTATTATGTTTTTCGGCTTACTCACGTAATTATTTGACGAGGAACTCGACTAGTTTCAAACCATGTTAGGGGCTACTACAGTAGCAGCGCGACAGTCACCGCCTCGTGGTTCGCGGCATGCTGCTCATGAATATGAGCGTCTAGCACTGGCTTGAAACTAGTCGAGTTTCTCGTCAAATAATTACGTGAGTAAGCCGAAAAACATAATAATTAATTTAGTATGTCTCACGAAAGTTATAACATAAATACTTTAATCACACTCAAAACTTAATTTCTTTTTTGTACACACACACACACACACACACACACACACACAGACATCACATAAACTGAATCCTTCCTTTAAGCAAAGACAGGGGAGGAAAGGGTAAACATGTGTGTTCGTAACAGAAGTGTAAATAACACATTCCAAATATCCAATAAATAAAATCATATTCCCGATGCATTCGTGCACGAAATATTTGAAGCGATTATCAAAGAGGATTTGCTAGCGACTTGTTTGAACAATATTATTCAGAAAACGAGATGGATGGATTTTCTGCGAGATTACGCTTTTTTTTTTAATATCTCAAATGCTTTTATCTTTTTCTTTCTGGTATACGTTGAGAAGTTTTAAGTGTTTTTGTATTTTTTCTTAGGATTGTGTCAAGAGTATGGCCGCAACAATATTTCACGAATTCGTTACTCAGACGCGATGGAAACAAACGTTTTACTTTTTCTTTACTCGACTCTTAAAGATTATCTTTTAGTTTCACTCCACATACGTACTTCCATTCTTCCATTCTATTCAAAAATGGTTCAGGCATAAGAGCTGAGTTTGTTTCGGCATCTCTTCTTAGACTTAGGAAATGCCGGCCTATTTTTTTTTTAATATTGACATGTGAAGTTGCTGTCTTGTAGCCTATTTGCAAAAATAAATTCACTGAAGCCATTAATAATATCCAATAGAATAAAAACGCATCATATATATTAACGAGTTCATACATCGCTATACCTTGAAAACTAAATAAAAGCTAAATTGATCACGGTTCAAAGAAACTCCCACTGCTATAAAGCACATCCCTACTCACTTACGAACGTAGAGCTGCACTCAAACGCGGCAGTTATTATCGTTGCATTTAACACTAGGGTTGCTACAAAAGTATCTGTTTTCACAATGATACTGGTGTAAACGATATTTTTTGTAACGCTTTTGTTTTAAAGATATTTTAGTGCGCTTCACAATGATACTCCTTGAAAGCATTTTGTAGCAATTATAGAAACGGAATGGGAGCTCCAATTGTTCTTTTTTTGTTAGTCTACATTTGCTCGTGTTGTGATTCTTTTGATAATGTTTACATTTTTAATATTTTGTGTTTGTTGACACACTAATACTGAAGTGTCAAAGTATTTTTTTAATGATTTTTTACATCTTGCCTCGTTTTCCAAACATATGTAGGTACCTATGATATGCTTTTCGCTAGTTCTAATAAACTTTTTCATCAGACATAAATACTATACTCCATAATATAGCTAAAAATCCCGAAAAGCTATCTCTCAATATGTTTCGCCTGACCTGACAGTCGAATTTGACATAAAGTCGAAAATGACTGTATAAGGAACAACTATCGATTTTCTCTGTAGTATTAAGAAAATTTGGTTTCCATGATGTAATAACCTTGGAGTTAACAATAAAACAAGATAATAGACAATACGCTCGACCCTTATTGAGTGCGACCAATAATTTAACTTGAGAAAACTTTTCAGTCCTTCGTTAAAACGAGTCTCCAATTCAAACAATAATAAGTAACATCTTCATAAAAGATTTGTATATAGAGGTAGATGAAAGATAATAAGCCTTTATAAACGACCCGAAAGAATGGTATAATTCTTCATATACCCATGTAAAAAAATTAACACTTCTTTGATACCCAGCGCATAAAAATAGAGTGAGGTAAGTTATAAATTGACATTATACGTACATATACAAACATACACTACAGCCTAACATACAAACTGGTAATTTTCCTTTCACAAAAATTCGGCTCACAATTTAGAGATTTTCAACAAAATCCTTCACCAGATCCATCGACGCCACGTGACAGCATTGTTTACATATATCATTAAGAACGGCGTAATAAAAGGATTAGAGATTAACTTACGTGTGTCATCGTACTGGACGCCGTGGAACTCGCTGAAGCAGCGCTGCACCGCCAGCGTGTTCCAGGGCGTCGCGTCCCAGCACAGCAGCCCGTCGTAGTACGCGGGGCAGAACTCCTCCTCCGCCAGCCCCTCGTTCTGCGCCAGGCACTTCTCCACCTTCGCACTGACATTGTCTACAAGGTCCGTATCTAAAGTCTTTAGCTCCTCCAGTTTGACGACGTAAAACTCTCTTTCGACTAGGAATTTGAGCTAATTAGCTTTGGTTTGCTCTTTGGTTTATCTATTTACACTAATCACACTGAACAGTCACATCAATTGTCACTTTCACCGGTTTATCTGTGTCCAACTTCCATCGCGCCATCCGCTGGCGAGGGAGTAAGCAGCGAGTGTGGCCTCAGGTGTGGTGTTCGGCGCGACCGAGTGGAGCGGAGTCTGAGCTGCTCCAAGTCTCCGGTAAGAACGTTACCATGATAACGTTGTTTGCTCGCGGCTTGTGTTCTAACTTATCAAGTGATAACGTTCCGAGAGCAAACATTGGCAGTCGGTGCGAGTATTTGCGTATCGTGCAAGGGACTTTAGTTTTTAATTTAATTTCCTTCGCTCCATTTAAGCCTTGATGTCCGTGCAACCTGCAAAGAGACACCTTTGGTCATGTTATCATGTAGATAGAGTAGAGTACACAGCACGATTACACTTTTATATGAGTTATTATTTGATGGAGTTGTAATGTGGTCTCAGTATTCAAGGAGCGTGCTACAGATAACAAATACGCCGTCACTATCACCGTTTCATGTGTAACATAAATATTAAACAGGAATGGAAGTGTTTTGATTGCAGTAATTCAATGTTCTTATCTACTAGAGAGATATTTAATTAAATAATTGTTCCGACGTTATGGGGCCGCATTATTGGACGGAGCGGTAACTGCTGCCGCCGCGGTATTTAGGTCATGGGTTCGATCGTCAGACCGGCCAAAAAGTAATTAGGTTTTCCTGGCGATAGAATTACTTCGATATGGGTCACCTGTCTGGGTTAACACTGATAAGTTTTAAACAGAGAGTCTGAATGAAAGTAGGTATGTGTGCAGTAATGAGTCTACCCACGCATCAAAACATAATAATCATAATTATACAATTACGACGATGATAATTAACTCCGCGTACAATACGGTATGTTCTATACGTCTTTTATGTAGGAATGTGGAACTCATACACATAATATGCTCAATTAATTTTAATCAGAGGGTAAATACATAGTACTTGTTAAATCTCAAGTTAGACGCTAAAACGTTTGCTGTGTAAATAGAGGCTATAGTACAAAACCACAAATACATAGAAATAATCTTAGAAGCCAGTTTGAACTGGTTTAATTGGCTGGTCTTGTTTAATGGTCTATTTTTAGCATTTTAATGAGCTTTTGTCAACAAAACTAAATTTTCAAAAATATTCTTGAACGTATTTGGAGATTTTAACGGTATTTTGATCCTTCTAACTGCAATAAATCTGTTGTTGTTGATACACATGAACGATTTCCTATAGGAAACCTTTAAAACGCATTTAATTTTTGGGGTTTTGAGGTCAGTTGTGTCAAAACAATCCGACAAAATTGTAGCATTTATAATCTAACTTCTAGTTACCGTATATTTTTTTAAACATTTCATTAGGTACTATGATGAGAACCTATTAGGTATGTCGGATATGACAATGGAAACCAATAACCACGTTCTCCTTGGAACACGAAGGAATTGCGAGACATTAGTAGTGTTCATTTAACCATCATCGTACATAGGTAGGTAAGCGATTTTAATTAAATTAAATAGAATTTGAATAACCCGCCACCACCCTTAGGTGGGCTATTGGAAAGTATTTTACATGGCAGACAGATGCATAAATAATCTGATACGCGATTAGTGCTATGAAGATGTAGTGACGTGTGTTCATTAATTTGAGTTAACTAAATGCTAATAAATGTGCTGTTCATTAACCGATAGACGATAATGCATGTAATTATGTTGTATATTGGGTGTGTATATTATGATAATTCTAAAATTAGATTACATCTTATGATCATAAAAAGGTATCGAATATATATATATATATATATATATAATAGATGAAATAAACACTTTTGAGCAGCTTTTAATTTTTAGTTCTGCTCTGTTCGTTTACTAACGAATCCAATATTAATTTAGATCGTAAGTACAAGTAAATAGATACTTATCTGCTCTAAGAATAATAAACGTTTAATGGTTTTCCTAAAATTTGACTGCACGGTTTGCGTGGTGGTAAGGCAAAATAGATTGTTGTTCCGGATCTGGGTGTCGTGTGTTTGTGAACTTGTATGTTTGTGAACGCACAAACGGCACAGGAGATAATCCTAGTGTGGGGCAATGTCTTTTTATTTTTTTATTCTATATCTCATGAATAATTATGTTACGTAATTATTTCTCAATGATGAATCATTAATGCAATGAATTGCAAAGGATGATAAAGGGAAAAGAGGTTAAAATCTAGGAAATTGTTTAACCCTTTGAATACCGTCATTATAGACACAATTAAAGAACAATAGGTTGCGGTCACCGGTTTAATATAGCTATGATAGAGTATTACCGTCGGAAGTAAATGCGGAATGATATGCTTCGATA